AACTCAGCGATGCCATCTAATCTTTGTGACCTAAAGCCAATTTGTGTTAAGCAGGAAGGCCTGCTAGGATAAAAGTTACTCTCAAGTAGGAAGAGAGATAATTTTTATACCTTTAACAACATAATTTTAGCAACAGGTTATAAAGACCACATACAAAGATAATCTAACAAATTCTGTAGAATCTGTACTAAGAGGCAGTTGTTGCCATAAATATAATTGTGTTTCTAAATCTTTACTTAGTTGTATCACTTCCGAAATACACAAAGTCCACCAAACACATTTATTTTCCAGCAATGTATCTATTGTATGCGAGGACAAAGAAAGTTATGTGGATATATGATAACCAAAATATATGTGTGCAAGTATGGGGCATGTTAATAAAGGCATTTCATATGTACCACTTGACCTATTTGGCATTTTCCAAAATATTTTACACAGTATGTACTGAGACTAAAGTAGGTATTACATTTGTCAGTATGCAATCACATGATAAAATAGAACAACTTAGCAGAACAAATCAGCTTTAAAAAAAGAGGTTACCATTCTATTTTTAAAGACAGCCTACTATATTCCTAATAATCTGTCCTGACTTTTACTAGTCAAATCAATTAAGTCCCTGTCAGAGCATTTTTTACTAACTAAATATGTATGCCATCTTCCAACCTCAACCTCATTAAGGAGATTATAGTTGTCTGCAATACTTAAAAATATTTAAAATATTACATACTGAAAAGTTTGAGGTAGCCAAAATTAAAGCCCAACTTTATGAACAACAACCAACTCTTTTATTTAAAAAATAAAAACAAAGAAACACAATACTTGCTCTTTAAAACAATAAGGAACACAATGTCAAAATTTTTTAAAGAGCTTAAAATGTCTTTGATGTCTTAAAATTTAAAATATTATGACATTTAAAAAAATGGGTAGCTTAGTGGTTAAGAGGATTAGGTTCCAAAGTCAGATTGCTTGGACTGTAATTCCAGATCAGCTATATGCTGGCTGGAGGAACTCAGAAAAGTTAAGTCCTCACCTATAAGTGGACATAATATTACCATTTCACTGGCAGGGTTGTTCTAAGCACCTTATGCATGTTAACCCACTTAATCTTCTCAATAACTCTATGGGCTGGCACTATTATCATGCTCATTTTCTAAATGCCCTGCCACCCCTGGAGGTTATATAACTTGCTCAAAATGGTGAGGGGTGGCAAACATACCACCCCAAAACATGCCACCTTGACATCAGGATTATTCTGAGCTCAAGGCACTCAAAAAACAGTAGGTGCAAGAAGGGCATTCTGACCCCACTTCCTTCCTGAAAGCAGGAGATAAAACCCCCTATAGAAGATGCCAGGAGGGAAGAAACATTCCTATCCCTGGAGGGAGAGAGTCGAGGCCAAGAGAACTTCATACAAACAGACCCTGTCACAATAACTCTTATCTTCCATTAGTCTCCCCACACACTTCTCTTTTCCACAGTGGCCTCTTTGTTCAACCCCATATATAAGCACACAGGTTTGGCCACTTGTTTGGGTCTTCATTTCCCTAGGGGGGCTCCCATGTACCTGTAAAAACCTGTATGTTCTATGCTGTTAACACGACCTATGTGTATATGCTTCTCAGGCCTACGCAGAGGCCTGAGGAGGAGGGGAAGAAGTTCAGCCTCCCCTCTCATGGAGGCTCTGGCGAGCTGTAGAGCCACGATACAGAGCCAACGTGTCTGGCTCGAGTCATGATTCTTACCCGCACCTCACTGCAGTGCCTCTGAGGTGTTCCTGAGGAAGAAGGGAGGTGTTGTGACTGATGAAAAGAGAAAGACGACACAGGAAGAGAGAGCCAATGCTGAGGCTGACTGCTATCACAACTTCAAGAGAGTGACTAAGCTCACAGAATGGTAGGGAGACGCAGGGATTTTTCATGCCAAGTGGTGAAGGGGTAGAGCTTTTTACCTGGATGGAAATAGGGCTAACCACAGACAAGCATGGACACTCATGGCAGCTGAAGGATGAGAGAGCCGAACAGACATGTGGGGGACTCATCTGGCTTGGAACATTTGAAAGCGGGCGTACCACCAGCTGCATTTCAAAACACACCGCTGTCCTGGAACTACAAGGGTCGTGAGGCCTCCCCATGACTGCCAGGGACACCAATGCTGCAGGTGAGGTACAGCGCAGGAACAGAACCTACCCAACTCAGTCCCCCATGGTCCTGGGAAAATGCCCTTAGAGTACAGCATATCAGCTTTGGGGAAGAGCTTAGGCAGATCGGATGGCACAGCTAGAACATGAAAGCAGATTAGAGTAATAAAGTGCTGGAAGTTTCCTAATGAGTTAACAAATATGAAAGTTTCTGTGACTTCTGAGACTCAGCTAAAGACCACTTTTTAAACCAGAGCCTTTTCTAGAAGAGAAAAAGGTCCACAGCAAATAAGCTTCACCTGCTGAGGCAAACTACCCCAGAAACTGGGCCCCGTTGGTCTAGCTCACTATAAGTGAAGTACCTACATGTTTCGAGCTACCAGACACTTGGAGATTTTAGAAAAAGCAATAGCTGGAGCGTTTTCAGCTGTGATTAAAGCTCACCCCTGATATGCTGCAAAGCGGCAAGCCACAGAGCCAGAGAGGTGAAGAAGACGTATAAAGAGTTTTTGAGGGCCAGCATTAAAAGTCGCATGTGCTAAAAAAAAAAAAAAAAAAAAGTCGCATGTGCTCTCAAAGATGTCTGGATGTAAACTCACAATCCTTTTGATGGCTATTTGGTTACAAAAAGAATAATGTTGATTTCTAATCATGAAACAACAGAAAACAGCCAAGTTCTCTGTATATATGTGAAGACTAAAGAGGAATACAGAACACAGTTTGTAAAACCAGGCTTTGTTGAAGCAAATTTCTGAGAGAAGAGTTTCTTATGAAAGGGCCTAAAGAAGCAGACCAGCGGCATCACTGAGGTTCAGTTAGTGAGGCTATTCCAGGAGGTAAGGGGGCAGCAGCACCGGCAGCTTTCAAGGAACAGAAGTTGGGACTGATGCAGTCAGTTCTGACCTGGAAGCCACAGCACAAATACCTGACATGGCAAGAAGGGCCAGATAAGCAGTCGTGTGCAAGGCACTCCCATTTATACCCATGAGAAAGTTCTCCAGAAAAACCACCAGCCCTGGTCAAACAATGCCTCACTATTCTGCCTCAGGTGTAGGGGATCTGGGCAGAGAGAAAACAACTCTGACCACCCGAGTTATTGCCCCTGTCCCAGGACATATGACACAGATTCAGAAAAACTGCCAAAAGGGAAAGGGAATTTGCCAGCACTGCATATTCTGGCCTGCCAGAACTTGACTGTGGAAAAGATGAAATATTCTAAGGTAATGTTTAGCCACAAGAAAACTCTTAATCTGCTCTCCCAGAGATTAAGGCCTAGAAATGGAAGAGGGCCAGATGGGTGAAACCCTTGTGTCCTTTCTGTGAGAGACCAGATCCCAAAGAGAAGGGCTGAAGAGGCAGAGACCTGCCCATTTATACTTCTAAAAGTGTGGGGAAAGAGGCATGGTATGAACTGTAGCTCTGAGAGAGCCAAAAAAAAAAAAAAATTCAGGATCACTCTTAAATCCAAGGAGCCATCCTCCATGTTTCAAGACATATAGAGCATTTGCCAGTGCTAGGGGAACCCCATCTGATTGGACTAAGATAGAGACCATAAGAGGGGGGAATCCCTGGGTGGCTCGGTGGTTTGGTGGCTGCCTTTGGCCCAGGGCACGATCTTCGAGTCCCGGGATCGAGTCTCGCGTCGGGCTGCCGGCATGGAGCTTGCTTCTCTCTCTGCCTCTATCTCTGTCTGTCTGTCTGACTGTCTCTCTCTCTCTCTCTCTCTCTCTCTCTCTGTGTGTGTGTGTGTCTATCATAAATAAATGAATAAATCTTTAAAAAAAAAAAAGACCATAATAGGTAGGAAACGAGAATCTGGAAAGAATGATACCTGAGAAACATCCCAGAGAACAAATACCCTACAAGTTCATGTATATCCTCTCAGGAAAGGAGCTGAATTTGGTGGGAGGAAGTCCAGAGTGGAAGAGGATGCGTGCTATGTGGGAACACTAGGTGTTGGCTCACCACCCTCTGGGGAGAGAATTTCTCAGAAGAACTATACAAAAACTGCAAATCTCTTCCTCAGGGGAAAGACATAACAACATGAAGGAAATGTTATTTTTCAAAATTCCCTTTGGAAAAAGCATAGTATTTGTTTGAAAGAAATTTTTCTAAAATTTATAACAGCGGTATAAATCATACCAAATTATCATAGTAGTGGTATCAATTTTTTAATAGAAAATAAACCAGTCTAAACAAACATTAAGGAGACATGATTTAACATATTTTAAAAGTATACTTTATTCAGTAAATTATTTATTGGATGCTTAATTTAATTTCAGATGCTAATTTAAGAACAAGGTTTGGTACTATTTATAAAACAGAACTTGAATCTATCAAGGATCCTTCAAGACATTTTCCTTCAAGGTTTTTCACAATTAAAAAGGCTGACCATTTAACATATAGGGGAAAAAAAGGGATGACTTTATATATTTAAAGTATACAGCCAAAGTAATATATAAGAAGTGTATGACTTGATGATAATATTTTAAGTGATTGATGACCTTTATTTTTATAGATATTTTTATAGATTTCTTTTTTTTTTAAAGATTTTATTTATTTATTCATTAGAGACACACAGAGAGACAGAGGCAGAGACACGGGCAGAGGGAGAAGCAGGCTCCATGCAGGGAGCCAGATGTGGGACTCAATCCCAGGACTCCAGGATCGCCACCTGAGCCAAAGGCAGACGCTTAACTACAGAGCCACCCAGGCAATCCCTATTTTTATAGATTTCATATACATAAATGAATTCTGGAATTAGTAGGAAATAATTTTTAAAATTCATCACATAAGTTTCAAGCAATCTTTTAAAGTAAAAATAATTTAACCAATTAGGATTTTGTTTCTCAAAAAGACTCACCTAAAAGGACAAATCCATCTGCTTCTGTGTCTGGTACAGAGGGCTTTTTAGATTCCGGAGATTTTCTGAAGAAGTGAAACATCGCTGCTGTCTGAAACAGAAACACTATATAATGTCAAGGTCAGATGAAAGTGTAAAACTCTTACACTTTTTTTTTTTAACTCTTACACTTTTTAATAAAAAGCCAAACATAGAGATATCACAATAATTACTTTTAGGAATTCTATTACCAGACCTAAAAACATAAGCCCTCTCCAGGTGTCGGAAGAGAACCCAGAAATTAAGGGGTATGGACTTCGAGGTCAAAATCATGTATGCCTTGAACCATGTAACATCTGTCCATTTCTGAACATGCAGGAAATAACCCAAAGAATTATACATGTAAAACTAAAATCAACAGATCACACCAGAATATGGAAGGATCTCACTAACTATAAATAGAGGACACTCGACTGAGGAAAGGAAAAACAAAACAAAATAAAAATTTGTCCAGGTTTCCTGCCGTGTCATAACCAGCTTAAGCATTTTAAAACTGAAGCCATGGGCAGCCCAGGTGGCTCAGTGGTTTAGCGCCGCCTTCAGCCCAGGGCATGATCCTGGAGACCCAGGATCGAGTCCCACGTCGGGCTCCCTGCATGGAGCCTGCTTCTCCCTCTGCCTGTGTCTCTGCCTCTCTCTGTGTGTGTTTCTCATGAATAAATACATAAATGTCTAAAAAATAAAAAATAAATAAATAAAACTGAGGCCACCTGAAAAAGAAAGGAAGGCACTTGAAATATCCTCTGTAGTTGGTTACCTGATTCACACACTCAAGGACCAACTGTATCCATTGCAACCAACTTTAAATGCCCATCAATGCAGATCTTTGTGTTGGTAAGATTGTGTGCCCCAACACACACACCCCACTTTCCTCTTTCTCCTCCCATCTTTGTACATTCAGGAAGGACAACAATTCCTAGAAAAGAACTGAGAAGGAAATTGGAGGGAACCTCACATCTGAGGACAGTCCCCATAAGCAAAGCAACATAAGTCCTGGTAGCAGCAAGCGCTCCGCATTTTATGTTTCATATATTCTACCCATACCAGAAAATCAAGCAGGGAGGGTAAAGATTTTATCTGAGCAAAAGCCTTCTGGAAACTGAGAACTGTACTGGGGTTTGTGGAAGTCGACCTGCCCTGAGCTGTGGACCTGTGGGGACAGTAATGGAGCTTATCTGTTGATTAGAAAACATATCTAGCTGCTTTTACTTTTAAAGGAATAAAAACTGGAGAATAACACAAGGCATGTGATCAAGAAAATAGTTCAGTAAAGGAAAAGGAACAGCCTCTAAAATCCTCAAAGAAAACACTTAAGAGGATACAGTGATGGGTCCAAAAGAAAGGTCTGGAAATAGTTCGGCATTCTGGGCAAAGGGCAAGGAAACACGGCCCATACAGGATTGGTGAGAAATGAGATTAGATGCTTTTGTGGAGTAAGATGAACAGAACCCCCTGCAAGAAGGAAATGGTATCAGAGAACTGGTTGGTGTACAAGCAAGAATGGACAAAAATAGAGCTCAGATTTAAAGACTTGAAAGACTGGAAAAGGCAACTAACTTCTCAACCCAAATGAAATGGAGAAGCCTCTGAAGAAACAACAGCTGATTAAAACTCAACCTCAAGTAAGCATCAAATCAAGAGTACAACCATTAACACCTGATATTAAGACTTCAGCACGGATCAATGTGGCATGTAGTCAATTCCTTCACTTGGGGTAAAATGGTTCAGGAAAAAACAGAAAAAGAAGGTAGTCTTCAGCTGAAACCTGGCAAAGAAAAGGTACCCCCAAGTAAATAAGGAAATAGAGGGCACCTGTGGGATGGAAAAGCTGAGGAATGTAGCAAATCTGAGAGATCTCTAGCAAAAATTATAGGTCTGGCCTTTGACACATGAAGCTAATTATAATCAAACAGCTAAGAAGCCAACAAAATGTTTGAGAGCTATATGGCCAAAATGACTACTACCAATCTGGATTAAAAAAAGACCCAGGGACCTGTATGGGTCAGCCGATCAAGCAGCCCCAGCTCTTGATTTTGGCTCAGGTCATGACCTCAGGGTTACGGGATTGAGCCCCACTCCAGGCTTTCACTCAGTGCAGAGTCTGCTTGAGATCCTCTCTTTCCCTCTCCCTCTGCCCCTTTCCCCTCACCCCCCAAATAATTTTTTTTTAAGGAAGACTATGACTAGTGGATATTTAGAACAGCCCTACAGACAGGAACTTGCCAGAGAGAACTGCTCAGACCCCAAAAACTGCTCAGTGCCCACTTCAGTGGTAGCCAAGGAAGTTACTAGAAAAGGAAGAAACTCCAAGAGGCTGGAGTCAATGGGCATGGAGGACAAGGACTGGGGGCCTCTCCCAGGAAAAAGAATTTGGGCATAATTAATGGGCATCCTCCAACCCAAGGTGGGGGTCCCCCCAAAACCCTGCTCAGTTCCATTTCAGGATCACTACCACTCCATAACTATTGAATACCTCCAATTCATCCTCTTTCTGAATGAGAGTGGTTTGGGCAGTATGGTTTCCAGTTCCCCCAGAGTAGGAGGGGATGGAGGGGATGGGTCTTTTTAATTCACACTGTCTCCAGACCAAGAGATGGCACACTTGGACCTGATGGAGATACTGGACTTTGAATGTGAATGGGCAGTTGGGCAGTGTGGGCTACAGCTCTGGGGGAGGGGTGGGTTATTGTGCCTACAATGAGGAGAGCTGGGGATGTGATGACCACAAATGAGAACCATGGAAACATAAGGGTTGTTCACTGGCTCTCTGCCTTATGGAGACAAAGGACTGTAGTTTTGCTTCCTCCTTGGAGGGAGATGTGGCCACATAGCTTGCTTAGTTCACTGTGTCACATGCCATTAGGGTGCTACATCAAGGAGCTTTGTGAACACAGAGAAAGAAAAGCCCTTTGGAAAGAGTTTCCTGCTCTAACATATATAGAAAAGCCTTCTAATAGAAGGACTCAAATTTCCAATACTTTCTCATGTCTGGCCACAAAAGAGAAATGGAACATGGAAATTATAAAAGTGGTTCTGATAAGTCAGTTTCAAGCCCCCAAAGTCTAAATATGTTGTTATAAAAGCAGACCAAGGGGCATCTGAAGGGTTCAGTCACTAAACATCTGTCTCTTGGTTTCGGCTCAGGTCATGATCTTAATTAAGCATGTGGCATCATGTCCGGCTCCATGATCAGTACAGAGCCTGCTTCAGATTCTTTCTCTCTCTCCCCCTGCCCCTCCCCACTCACATGCTCTCTCTTTGAAATAAATAAAAATCTTAAAAAATAAAAATAAAAATAAATAAAAGCCAGACCAAACTCAGGTGTGGTACAAGAATCTTTCTTTAATTCAAGTATTTGGTACAGAATTTATAACTTAAGTAATTAAGTAAAGCATTTAAGTTTTTCACGACTTAAAACTTTGAATTTAAACTACATACAGGCTGCATCTGTTTGTTGCTAGCATGACTGATTGGCAATGCATATTATAATCCCTTCCCTTAGAACACTGTAAACATTAGAAAAGGAAGGATAAAATGGATTCCATGAATCAAAAAACTTCCAGACATGGAAGAAACAGACCAGGAGTAAGAGAAAGGAAGTCAACACAGAATGAAAGAACTCAGAATGGCAGCAAAGAATGGTTTACTATAAATATCCATCTGAAACAACTCTAAAATTATTACAAAAGTACCGGTCACCCTCATGCCCATCACTCCACCAATCTGACCACCACCTTGACTCTTTTCCTCAAGATGCTTTTTCGTGAGAATAAGGTTCCAATTTTACAATACAAGTCCTGGGATTCCCTTGTATGACCAATACTACTGCTGACACTAGTAGTCTAATTCCACCAGGTATGTAAGATCAGTCTAACCATACATCTTTAAGAAATCACTCCATGCACGAAAAGATGCTCTAATGTATAACCTAATTATCTTTATCCCATGACATTTTTTCCTATCACTGAAAAACACACACAGCCGTGCAAAAATGTATCCTGGTGAGCTGGCAATACCATTTTAAGATCTGCCCTCTATGAACTATTCCTGGGGTGAGAGAGCTGTGTGGGGCAGATCACCACCCCAGCAGCCAGACTGAGTTGTCCTACCTATGACTAGAAACAAGGAAGGCAAGGGGAGCAACTAAAACCCCCCTAACATTTACTAAATTCCTTCTGTGTCAGTCATTATTACCAAATTGCCTTATGTATGTACCCTATCTCCTATAATCTCCATCACCTTGTCCAGTACACTTAAGTAATGGCAATGTATAAGTGAAAGGATCGAAGTAAAGTAGATTAAGTATTGGCCTAAGTCTATGTGGCTGCTAAACAGCAGAGCTAGAACTTTAAACCAAGTCCTTTTGCAACTAAACTGAAAGCTTTTCATGAACGAAGCAGCACAGGCAAGGAGTCCTTAACACTTAGACATTTGTGTTAGACTTATGTAATATTTCCTAGAATTAGTCACATACATTTGATTAATTCCATTTCTGACTTTATCAATCCCTTCTTCCCAAGTCTTGCTCAGCTCTAGGTTTTGAAGGCATAACTAATTCCATAACATCTATATTCAAGAACTTCCTTTATTTTGTATTTATATTTTATAAACATCTATTAAGGGCTTAGGCCAGATACAGACCAAGCATTGTAGATGCAGCACCCAACTTATATCCAGGAGGAAGAATAACTGTAGCCTCAGCGCACCATATATCTGAGGCAGTCCTTAGCAAACTTAAGAGTAATTTAAGAGCCGCATCCCCAAAGTGGAGGAAGTCGGTAATAGTCCTGTTGCCTGAAGCCTAATGAATCGTGACCTAAGCACCCAGGCTTCTGATGTGCATGGCCTTGACAGCTGGATTTTGGCTTCGAGTTCCCAAGCATATTCCAATCTCATTTCCTTATTTACAATTTTCAGTATCTTAAAAATTGTCTATAGTAAGTGAATTTTACACTTACAAAAAAAAAGCCAATATTTACTCTTAAAATCCATTACTAGGAGCACCTGGGTAGCTCACTCAGTTAAGGTTTGCCTTCAGCTCAGGTCATGATC